TATATATATATATAAATGACTGTCGGTATTCTCCTTATGATGTACACACAACAAACTCACGTTTACTATCTCTTGGCGCCCTCGTTTCACGAGGATAAATAATAACGTAATACCGACTTAGAAACTATTTCATTTCCTCTCTTCCTGCCTATAGAAGTTACATCTACGAAACGTTGCGAATAAAAATTCTCCTCGGGAGCAATTCTCTTCCTCTTCAATCTTCACGCTAATTATTTTTACACGAGTTGCACATTGCCGACGATTTTTTTTTCTCCTTTGTTTTTTTTTTCGTGCTACCACGTCTCACCTTGCCCGGTTCTATCTCAAAGATGTCTCGGCTCGGAGGTATAATTGTACGAATTAAAAGGAGCTTACAATGGTGTGCATATGCGGACGATGCTTTGAGAGATTTTTCACCTTGCCGATCATTCGTGTATTGTGTTATAAAACCACGGATTGTCACTGATTGGCGTATTAATACGTCTAACAACGATTGTGTGTTCCTATGATTATATTCTGACACGACATCGAAATAAAGAGGAAAGGGGTGTCTCTTCGCACATCACGATACCAAACACGTTAGCGAAAGTGCGGGAAAGCAGCAATTAGTCGTTCGTCTATGATAATAATGGAGGGGACATGATCGGGAAAGTGTCGCAATCGCAAATAGTAGATATCTTTTTTTTTCTTTTAGCACACGGGACATGGAAATTCGATTTGACGGCGGTAAAGATTCACGATTATACACACGGGTCGATTAATCCGTCTGTAAACCCAATGCCGTTGCATCTTGTATTGCAATTACACTACACCGTGGATTTGTCGTCAGTTTACACAAACAGAGTCGCGATAGAGCCATTCGGTTAAGAATTAAGTTCCTCGCCCGTGTCGGAGGTCACGGAACGAACTTCTGAGATCTTCGTTCCACGGATGATCTTCGTCGCGGTAAACGCCAACGAATTCGCGGCGACGTTTCCTTTAAATTTCCCGAAAATAATGCACTCGCCTAACAAAAAAATAAAAATAAAAACATTTAAAGAAACAATGAGAGTAGCGGGCGCGAATACGGACAGATCAAACTTGTTTTTCACCCCGGAACTTTGGCTTGAACAAAACGTACGGGTACGATAGCCCATTCTTTGATTTATACTACGGAATAGTCGCACGCATGATCGACCATAAACGCGCGGATTTCCAGAGACTTTGCGTTCCACAATCACGGAACCGCGTGTCGTTTTCCCGTACACGACACGGACCGTAAGCTAGGGAGACGAAGAAGCTCAGGTCTACGGAGACGAGGTCGATATCGACGACCACCACGGTCACTGCAGCCTCGGTGACCAATATTGCGCCGCCATGTCGGGTGCCGGTTGACCTGGTACCGCGATCGGCACACTCACGCCAGGGGATATTAGACCTGCAAGAGAAACCATAGCATTCCGTTTAATTTCATAGACGTGGAAACATTTCACGTAAGAATTACATGCGAGTCCTCTCAATGAAAATTTAATCTCGCAACCGATTTATTATAGTTTATCAACATTCTAGACAATCAAACCTGTCGAAAGCAGATCTTGTCAAGTATCTGCTACAAATTTTGTCGGCCGAAAGACTACAGATTTGATGCCGGTTCTGATATGTTATTAACATGATGTCGGCAGAACGTCAATATAACAAAGTCTGCTAACATAATCACTATCAGACAGCAGATTGGCGGCAAAGATCAGAGCTTGCAGAAACTGCCCAGGCTCTGCGCGGTTTCCGCTGTCAATCTGCTGTCTGATTATGTTAGCAAACTGCTGGCAGAACATAAGTTGAATGCGAACGCAGTTGATGTCGGTCTACTGACACGTTTTGATCAAATCTGTTGCCAATCTGCCGACAGACTGTTATCATTTTGCTTACTAGGACAGTATACATCCAATCGCTAGATATATTGAAGAGTGAATGACAGTCACATGAGTATTTTTATAAAAATCTCGATTCATTTTTTTGTATTGTACTTTTTTTATACCTGATAAAATATTATTTCACCGTTCCTGATTAAGAGATATATAATAGCACAAAAAGCGAAATTATTTTTATAAAAATCTCAATGTTTTTTTTGTAGGTGTCATATATTGTATGTGTATGTTGTTTTTTTTTCGTATTTGTTAGAATATTATTTCATCATTTTATCGTTATTAAGATGTAGTAACACAAGAATGAGATAGAGAGGGATAGTAATGGCAGATTGAGCAATGGCATAGATTTGCAAGACATGCACGACGGCCACGACGCCTCGCAAACATGAAATCCACATTGATCTACTAACACCTACAATCCGCTATAGCTATCGAATAGAAACAAAAACATTCAGGCGGCTAATGTAGGCGAGATGCAGGCGAGTAATATACGGACATGAAGCTAGATCACATTTGTACTGGATGTTCATAAGGCGCAAAGGGGGAGGAAGGACGATCGGAGGATGTCCCTGTCCGATCGGGGACGGGACACATTGGGGGAGAACGAAGGGGCGACAGAAGCGTGTATAATCCATTACCGGCGGGCTCGATAGCGTGTTATCCATGGTAGCCGTAGTAGTAGTCCATCGGCTAGAGTGCAAGCAGCGAATGCAGTGAGTGCGGTAGACACTCACCGGTCGAGCTGGCGTTCTGATTGTACTGATTGAGGCTCGCCGCGTGGTAGGGCTGCGTGGGGCTGCAGGTCGGTCTGGCGCCGTACCCTAGGTGAAGGGGCTCGTAGCTCGGCGGTCTCGCGACCCCGCACGAGTAGCCGTTGTCCCGTTGCTGGAGGCACGCGCCCGGGCTCGGTCCGACGGTCATGCCCACGGTCATGCCCATCGGGCTCATGCCGCTCCCGGCGGACAGCGAGGACATGCTGCTTGTCGTGTGCTGATTCTGCTGGCTGGCGCCCGACATCGTGAAGCTCGGCATCGACGTCATTGGGCTGCAACACGCAGCGAGATGATTTCGTCAATAAGACTTTTAAATAAGCGAACGTTTTTAAATAAAGTGGAATCGTAAGACTACTAATCATCAAACAACTGATCGAATCGCGGAGCCAAGCACTGGATTAGCATCCACTTCGTATAGCTTAGCTTTTTCACAGAGTTGATCAACTTGGTGCCTTTGCGTTCTCACCTGTACGAGTCGGGCATACTGGGTATTCCGGGATACACAGCGGTGGGCGCGAATCCGTGATGTATTCTGGGGGGTGAGGGTGGTGCCTGTGGAGGCGGCTGGCCCCCGAGTATCCCCGAGGGTGGCGGCGGCGTCGGGTGACCAGCACCCACCAAACTCACGCCGGCAGTGTGTTGCTGCTGCTGTTGCTGCTGTTGTTGCTGCTGCTGAGGCGGCGGTGGCGGATTATCCCTCCGTTGCGTGCGCAATTTCTCCTCGCGCCGCCACTTGGCCCGCCGATTCGAAAACCAGACCTGAGTTAGTGAACGAGAAGACAGACGAAGATACAGGTCAATCGCTAGGCTACGGATAAATTTCGTATCGGCTGACAGTCGTGGATAAAACGGTTCGTCACTAAAACGCACGCGTTACCCCCTGCGAAAATCCCTTGATCATATATAATGTCGAATATATATGCTAATTAAACGTCACCAATCTTCGTGATTTTCGATCTTGGTGTTCGTAATAAAATAATATAGACCTGTATATATGTACGTGCGTGAAACGATATAGAATCAAATGTCGACGCTGGTTTCAATAAGAACGATAAGATATCGATTATTATAGTTAGAAATAAATAAATTGGAATAATAAAAAACTACAGCTACCTATATATATTATAAGAAACACCGTTTTCTTTCAGAAGCTGTCAACCGCTCTTCTTACACAGCCATGATCACAAGTTGCAATCTTGCAATTAGCGTTTTAAGAATGAAAAAATACAGCGGATTTTCACACTGAATTAAAATAAATAGCGAAAATAAATCGTTAGTAGTGTATAAAAAATTCAACATGCTTTGCAATTCAGGAACAATGACTAATTTAAAATCCAAATAGGATAATCGAGACCTTCGCGTAATTTATGACTGTAATGACAAATAGACTCTATCGTTTAATAATAACATTCATAGCTATGATATTTTAATGATG